GGGGGGGCGTCGTAGATCAGCTGCGGGTGGCGGCGCGTAAAGCCTCGGAGATGGGTTAATGTTTGTTCGCTGCGAGCTGCAGGTTCGGGGTTAATGTGCTGAGGTGTCGTTTGCCTGGAGGCATGTTTGTGGGCGGCTTCATAGGAGGGAGTAGCTCGGTTCTGGTAATACAGGTCAGGGTTATGCCGGATGGAGAGGTGCAGGAATGGGCTTTTTAGGGCAGTCTGAGTCTTTCTTAAATTCTTCCTTAGTTTGCACTTAAAGTTTTTAAAAATAAAGCACAGTAGTAGGACGGTGTTGCTTTCAGAAGTTGTCGGCCTGTGCAGGTCTTCGCTTGAGGCTCGCTTAATGTTTAAAACTAAATCTTCATTAGAACATCTTTATTTTATAGACATTCTGGAACGGCCTCAGTCAAAATGTTCTCAGAGCAGCATCCAGCAGAAAATATGCGTAAGTATTTCCTTGCTTTTTCGTGTTTGACCGTTTGATATTTGTTTAGTCTCCTCCTGATACCAGAACTGATAATTGGAGTCAGAGATGGAGTGACAGAGCGAACCCAGCAAGATAAAACTAGAACCTGTGCATGTACCTTTCCTAAGGCTGTTTCTTTGTCTCTTGTTTTTTTTCCAGGGGAACTTTTAAGAATTGTTCTTCCTCCCTTCTCCCACCACCAGCAGCATCCACAAAACATGGATTGTTGAGATTTGTTTGATTAATAAACGCAAAAGTGCCCCAAACATTGGTGGAACAGTTTGATTTAGGCTGGCTTGAAATGAGGGCAATGAGTGGCTCCATTTCACTACAGATAAAGTTTATTTCCGACAGCTTGTGCATTTCAGTCACTTGTTTTCCTTGTTGCAAGGTAACTGGAAAAGAGCAGCACTTAGTTGTGTAACTCAGTCAGATGTTTGGGGCTGATGCTGATTCAGGACACGGAGCGGGAAATCTGTTTGTGTTGGGAAAACTGCCCAGCTCTGGTTCGTACAGAGAGGCAGAGCAGTTGCGCCTTTCCAAGTTCTCTGCTGTATGTTAGTTGAACTGGAGCTGGAGCGATTTGGTGTCTTGGGGAGTAAGAAGGGGATATCCTGGCAGTAAACGTGCTCTGCCTTCAGCATACCTCCTCCATCCCACAGCGTGGCTGTGTTTATAAGGCAGAATGAGGATTCAGGAGCTCTCTGTAGCCTTGAAAGGGGCAATCCGCTCCTCCTGGAAAGGAGAAGGAGGTTCAAATGTGTGTTGTGTAATAAACTATGCCCGTTTTTCAGAATTAATCTAATTTGTTGCTCTTCAGCATCGAAAAGATGATTATCTTTGGCTCTGGCTGAGAGAACCCTTCATGGGTTGAGTAATTTGTTATCTTTGTGTACTCTTCTCTTTGTGCTAAGCAATGATAAATAAAGCAATAATAAATAAAGCAATACGATCTATGATTAGCAGCTGGACTCCAGGTGGGTGTTTTCAAACCAGTTTGAACATCAGAAGTAACCCAAAACAAGTCCTGTCTGTGTTAGAGACAGAATTAGCTATGACTTTGTTTTCTGTCAAAATCTTGAGGGATATTGAGAATACATGTAGTAAGGATTATTCTGGTGAAGAACAATATTTTATGTGTTAATTTAAGCAAGTGAGAATTTACCTGTAAGAGGTCTGACTGAAAACGGGCACAAGGTTAAATCCCTGGGTAAGAGTCAGAGAACGCCTTAGGTCAGAACACGATGTGTATTTGTTTCAACATCTAGTGAAAAGTCACTTTCTCTTGTCTTCAGGGTAGAAATGGGTTTTGCTATCTAGTTATTTTACCTTGGCAATAATTTTTTTCTCCACAATGTTCCCCTCTTTACAGCTCAGAAGCAATTAAAGGCGCTGTTATTGGAATTGATTTGGGTACAACCAACTCCTGCGTGGCAGTTATGGAAGGAAAGCAAGCGAAAGTGAGTGAAAAAGGAACCCCAGCTTGCGGTGACGTTGTTAAAGTTGGATGTCCCGGTTAGTGTCCTTGGAGGCAATGCTTTTTGATGGCCTTCTGTGACGTTTTCTACCCAGGTGCTGGAAAACTCGGAAGGTGCCAGGACAACCCCTTCAGTGGTGGCGTTCACAGCCGACGGCGAGCGCTTGGTGGGCATGCCAGCCAAGCGGCAGGCGGTGACCAACCCCCACAACACCTTCTACGCCACCAAGCGTCTCATCGGGCGGCGCTTTGATGACTCGGAAGTGAAGAAGGACATGTAAGTGGGGGTGGAGAGCAACGCCACTGCCATTTTTTTTAAAATAGGGCTCTCTAACCTGGCCTGGTTTAAAATATAACCCTCTTTGGGGTGAAGTCGCTGCACCCTCATGTCTCAAAGGTTCGTTGCTCCTGTTGTGAGGGCCAAGCTGTATTTTGCTACGTTAGTTACTGATCTTTTCAAGGGCTTCAGAGAAGTCAAAGGTCCACCCTTTAGTCTCTCTCTTCCCTCGCAGCCTGGCTGATGCTGTGCAGAACGGTCAGCATCCACCAAAGGAGACTCCTCTTGTTCTCGAGGATGTCACAGGCCAAGCTGTATGATCATACCTAAGGCTTGTGAGGAAGTGACGCAGCTGATGGAAAAGCAGAAGGAGCGTATTGGTGCTTTTGGGACTGCCTGGATCTGAGGCTTCTGTTGGCCAAATTCAGTAGTCTGTGTCTAGAACTCGCACGTGTTCATCTGCTGATAGTAGTTGCAGGGGTTTTGTGCTGATGGAGAAGTTGAGTGTGGAATTCTTCTGTTTTTTCTAGTAAGAACGTTCCGTTTAAAATTGTCCGTGCCTCCAATGGTGATGCCTGGGTAGAGGCTCATGGGAAGCTCTATTCTCCAAGCCAGATCGGTGCCTTTGTGCTGATGAAGATGAAGGAAACTGCAGGTTGGTGCTGTTTGATCTTCGCCATCCGTGCGTGCAAGCGTGACCTTGGTGCTGGGCCGTGGTGAGCGGAAGTGACGTCGCCGTGAAGGCGCTTTTTGGGTGCGGGCACCCTGGTACAGCAGGCCCTTCCGCGGGGCCGATTGTGGGGAGGGCGCAGCGGTGGGCTGTTACGAACCCTCGGGGAGGATCAGTGCCTACCTCGGTCTGGGGGTTTTGGCAAGATGTTAGTGCTTTTACTTGAAACATATTCTTACCGAAATTGGATACCGATTGAGTTGATGCTCTGTTTTAATCGACTCGAATGCACGCTTACTCAGAAAGGGGAGCTCCTTGTCCTTGTCAGCTGCGGTCCTTGTGCCAAAAAGCACAGGCTTTTGAGTGGCTTTGTTCTTACTCAGCTGCTAGATACGTAGCAAGAAAGGGAGTGTTCAAGGGACCCAGTTTTGGGGGCTGAATGAAACCAGTGGTGACTTTGAAATCTTCACTAGGAGAAAATATCCGTTGGCCTGGAGAAATTTTTTTTTTTTTCTTTCTTCTTTTAAATTGCTGATGTGGTTTCGGGGGGAATTGAGTATAATACGTAGAGATAATAGTCAGTAGCTGCCTTCCACAGCCTCGTTTGGTTCACACTGTGCGTCCAGCGGTACGTGTTGGGAGGGCAGGACTACAGGTTGTCACTGAAGCTTCATCCAAAGGTGATTTTTTTTACAGTGTGAGGTCCTGGACACTTGCTGAAGCTCCACCCACGAGTAAAATAGGAGCGTGTGGTGTACGAGCCTCTAGATGCGATCGATCTGCCGTACTCTGAGGATGATATTCCTTTGCCTTCAGCAGGGCTCTGCTTCCTGGAGGTCTGTGGGCTCTTGGCCCGGATGCCCCATGGCTGGGACTCCGGCATGGTCTGGCTGGGCCAGCCCCGCCGAGCAATGCAGTGTGTGAGGGCTGTGCAGGCTGATGCGCAGGGGTAAATCCCGTCGGGGCGTTCTCACTGCTTCGTGCACGTTCTTCTTTGTCAGCAGGTCTGAATCTGCACTTGATGACGGCCTTCTCTTTTTTTGAGAGAAGTTTGTGACCTTAACTTAGGGTCTAATACAGACTTTTCCTGCCTTGCTGTCTCAAGCGCTTGTAAAGTTAGTATGTGGACATGACTTGTACCACGTCAGGGTCACCTACAGCAGATTCTATGTAAACAGGATGAAAATTAGGAAGTTTTAAGGGCATCACTTGTTGAACGCTCCAAAGAAAGGGAAAACCACTTCAGTCCCACACACGAAAAAGACAAGCCCTCAGATGGATCCTCACTCACTAGTGGCATCCAGCCACTGGTTGAATTGCAGAGCTGCTTAGCTGTTCTGTTGGAAGTCTACAGACCTTTCCACGTTATGTGGAAGGACTGGATTTCTGCACGGCTCCCTCTGCCTCTTCCCAGAAAACAGCAAGTTCTTGGGCAGCAAGCCCATCTTCTGTTCTTAGTTCAGGAAAATTATTTCAAACCGTGTAACAATAACTCGGTGTTCCCGTAAGATAAGGGTGACTCTCTGTTTTGTCTCCTTTTTTCCTCCAGAAAATTACCTGGGACATTCAGCAAAGAATGCTGTGATCACAGTTCCTGCTTACTTCAATGATTCTCAGAGACAGGTATTCACCAAGCTGTAAGATTTTTCAGGCTTATAAATTGCATTTAGTTCCTCTCCGTAGTCAGCACTCGTCCTCTTTTCTTCCTCAGGCTACAAAAGATGCTGGGCAGATCGCTGGCTTGAATGTTTTGAGGGTGATTAATGAACCAACAGCAGCTGCACTTGCCTATGGTCTGGACAAGTCTGAAGACAAAGTGTAAGTGCCTGTTCATAACACCTACCCTCTCTTAAATAAGCTGTAATTTGCTTTGTGAAGTGCTGCTTCTGCTTTCTGTTGTTTTTTTTTTTTTTTAAATCCGTTGGTTGGAATTCTGCCAAAGTAGACTCAGGGCTGTGAGTCAGTGCTCTGTAATGTCACCTCTGTTCTATGCCAGCCAGACTTGTTAAAGAAACTAAGTTCATAACTTGCAGCTACAACTTAGTAATCAAAGCTGAGTGTCAGGTTAATTCTCTTGCTGGTAGCAGAGATAGGTGTGGCCAAGGACAGCCGGGTGAGAGGCTGTCACCGCGGGCGCTGAAGCGCAGCGCCGGAGCTGTGCTGAGGTTTGGTGCCTGGTATCCTCAGCTTGCGTCGTCTTCCCTGCCTGCACTCGGCCTTCTGTCACTGCCGAGTGTCGTTATTTAAGCGCAGGGGGTTTGTTACAGATCTTGTGTTTCTGCTGTAGATTATAGGGCTGTGAAAGCTTCACGTTTTGGAAAACATGTTTCGTAATGGTTCTGGTGTCCCTGCCCTTGTCGTTGGAGGTGAGTGTGTCTCTTTTTGAAGGAGGAGGAACTGCCCTCTGAAATAACGAGCAAGGTTAAGCGTTGTGCAGCACATCTTTCAGAGAAGACTCCCATGTGGACTCGGAGTGCTCAAGGCATGCCCACGCTGCGTAATCGGTTTAGTGCTGCCTCCAGAGAGGCTTTTAATTCTTGTGGGCAGGAACAGGAATTCTGCGCGCTTCATCTGCTGAGGAGAGTGATTCTTGAGCCACGCAGCTTTGCGCAGAAAGTAATGTTTTTCCACATCTGTTCTCGTAGCATTGCAGTCTACGATTTGGGTGGCGGCACTTTTGATATTTCCATTTTGGAAATCCAGAAGGGAGTCTTTGAGGTGAAGTCCACCAACGGTGACACTTTCTTGGGTGGAGAAGATTTTGACCAGGCTTTGCTACAGTATATTGTTAAAGAGTTCAAGCGAGAGGTAAGGGATCCCATCAGAATTCAGTCTTGTGTTACACTGGTTTTCGACATCACTTCTATAAAAGAACGGGAATTTCCTTAAATTATTAGGGCTTGGTTTGTGATCTGTGGCCCAGTTGCGATTTCAGAGTATTGGACACCTGTTAGCCTGGCTTCCAGTGCTTACACTTGTTCTCCTGAGGTGGAATATTCCTCTCCTGGAAGACACAGAATGGCAGGACCTCTGCCTTTTTTTCCTCTAGTGTAGCAGGGCTATTCTATACGTAGTCTGCTTGCTTCTGATACTAAAAGTCTGGTCCAATTGGATGTGTCAGCACAGATGCACGCAGTACGGTCCTGCAGGGTGATCCCAACTCCTTTGCCAATCCAGTCCTGTCTTGATATTCTTATATATCTAAATATATATTTATATTCTTTATATATGTAAAGCTTTTCCGAGGTTGAATCAGTTACTTTACAATCACTATGAGAGCAGAGAGGGCTGGCAGATGTTTTAGAAACGCTAAGTACATTTGCCAGAACTGAGAGAGATCAGCAGAAGTGCACATAACAGGCTGTATTTCCACAAACATCTTCACAGTCAAGAGTGATAGGAAGTGAACTGCGGTGAAGAGAAGCTCTCCACGGCTCCTGTGCAAAAGCCGGGAGTCTGTTAACCCGTGTTGTTTGTCGCTTAGATGGGTGTTGACCTGACTAAAGACAACATGGCCCTTCAGAGGGTGAGAGAAGCATCGGAGAAGGCCAAGTGTGAGCTTTCGTCATCTGTGCAGGTAGGTGGCTGGGTTCAAAGCAGGTCAGTAAAACATTTTGATACGCTGAGTTTTGCATTATTTGGGTTTACAAAGCTCTATGAAATCGCTGCTTTTTTTTCTTGAGGTGGCAGAACAAGCTGCTGTGTCACCCAACGGCATCGCTTGAACAGAAAGTCACTTAGCAGGGTAGGCTGTTTACGGGCACGGTTAGTTGTTGGAAGCAGCGTGTTAGCGGGTGCTGGGTTTTTTTGCCTTTCTTCTGGCACTGTGTTTTCTCACCTGGCAGTGGGTGACCTTGTTCCCAACTTAGGGCGTATTTCAGAAGTAGGGTGGGGATCAGGGAGTCAGCTGCAGCTAGTACTGCTGGGTTACTGGAAGCACTTGGGGCTCTGTGCAAGCAGTTCCAAAGCCTTGGTGCTACTTGTTCCACTGAAACAGCTAATTTGCCTAATAACAAGAAATTATTTCTATAAAGAGTCTTTGCTTACGTGTCTATAGAAGAGTTGTCTAGACAATGGGCAACATATACCCCCTTTCTTTTTTCCACCCACTTTGTATATTAATCCATTCAAGCACATCCTTTATTCGCTACTGAATAAGGAGCTGGCGAAGCAGCAAGCTGGGGGTATAATAGTCTTGTCTAAGTGAAATTAAGGTCAATTATATAGTCATTGAAATGGGGACTCTGCCAATTTCTAGGTTCTGTATAAACATTTTTTTTTTTTGATGGTGGTCTTTTTGTTGGCTAGTGGGGAGCTCATAGCAAGGAGTTTAGGCCGGTCACAATGGATGCATAGTTCTGCCAGAGACATAGCAGGCTCTGTTTTACGAGCTCTAGAGTTGGCAAATACAGTCTGTTCATACCAGGAAAAACTGAATTCCTTAACTCTTTAGCAGGGAAGGGAAAACAACTTGCTTTTGGCCCTATTTTTCCCTAATGTTTTTGACCATGCTATTTATAAAGTGAACGCACACCTCTAGTCAGTAACATGGGTTTAGTTCTTGTTGTGTAAACTGGAGCTCTAGAGCTTAAAGCACTAATACTTTTAATTGCTTCAATTTGTATCTTTTCGTGTCAGCATGACTCGGCACTTGAACAAGATGGTTTCAGTATAAGATTGGCTTTAAAAACCAGCATGTGAGTTTGTAAGATCGCTCGCAAATAGCCATGAAAAGTGGGGATTATCGTCCCTGGCGCTGATGAACTTTGCGTTAAATGACAACGGGCTGGCTGTTGAACATGAGTTGTTTGCATTTAGGAAACAGTCATGACTGACTTCCTTCAAGTAGCTTGCCTTACGTGAAATGTTAGTCACTTGGCGATGTTTTTTGGAACTCTGAAGACAGGCATTCTTCTGTGTTGTGCTACTGTTTCAGCTCTTACCTCCTGGCTGTGATAGAAACAAACAAAACTTGTTTTTCTTAACAAAAAAAAAGACCTCAGAATAACACAGTATTAAAATTGGACCTTAATAGTAGTAACCAAAAGATTTAACAGTCATTTTTCTATCTCTTGTCTGAAACATTAACACAAAAGTGTGCTTGCTGCCACTGAAAGACTGGGCTGCAGAGTGAACAGGCATGTAGGTGCTTCAGTACAGGCAGAACGGAACCTGTAGCTTGACCTAAAACCCACGTGTAGCTGCGTTTATTTTCCGTTGTGTTTTTCACTCGGTGCCTGTTTCTGCGCTGCAGACGGATATTAACCTGCCGTACCTTACAATGGATGCCTCTGGACCAAAGCACTTGAACATGAAGCTGAGTCGCTCGCAGTTCGAGGGCATCGTGGCTGATCTGATCAAAAGGACGGTAGCGCCGTGCCAGAAAGCCATGCAGGATGCCGAAGTCAGCAAGAGTGACATTGGTGAAGTCATCCTCGTCGGTGGCATGACCAGAATGCCAAAGGTATGAGAGAAGTCCCTGTTACAGGCGAAGCTGGCACAGGTACCCAGTGCTTTCTGTGAAGGGTGATCTGTAACAGGAAAGTTGGGAGTCCGATAACTTCAGAGCTCCAGCAGCTGAAGGCCCCTGAGGAGAGCAGACTAAGTGCCAAGCAGGCACATAAAAGCAGTGGGAAGGGACACTCTCGTCCTGATTAATTAGCTCAGCTTGGGTCTGGGGGCCGTAGCTGAGTTGCACTTCACAAAGACAAGGGGGAGGTATCGGGAGTTGAAAATTCAACTTGACTTTCTGATGTGGACCCAACATAAGCAGCGTTGTTTGGGCACACGGGGTGTTCTTCGGTGTGTGATAAAAGATGCGCTTCAGTGACAACAACCTATCAGTAATCTTTGCCTTCCAGTGGATTTCTTCCTCCGTGTAGAGCACTTACAGATAGCTGTGAAGAAGCTGCACAAGCAGAACAGCTCTGTTACCTGCTGGTTGCGTGTATTCAGCTACTTTTTGAGGCTGGGTGCTGTCAAGCAGATTTAACTGGCTGTTCCGAACACTTGTTACCCAATACCTGGCCCTTGTATTCTGTGGTGATAAGCACCAACAGGTAACTTAGAAGCTCACTCTGCTGACGTGCACAGTCTTGCAGATAAGATGCTGTCTGCCAGTGATTTACTGCTCCTGTTCACGGCAGTGCAGATGACTGCTTGGCTCCCTGGAAGTCAGAACGTGTGTGTGCACCGCTCCCTTCAAGGGTACAGCTAGTCCTTAGCTACAGAGATCATCATCATCTCGTTCCGTAGGGATCAGTCAGGCTTGGCCTGTTTGTTTGCTGTTAAGATTTGTGATTTGCAGGTCCTTTCTAGCATGATGGGCGTGTACGTGGTCCTGCTTTGGGATTGATTTGGGGTTTGGTGGTGGGGTTTTTTCCCCCCCGTGTTCAATGAGCCTGGGGGCTGGCGGTGATAGTTGTGTGTGCAGAAGGTCACCTGGGCGGGGGGACCAGAGCAACAAGATAAACAGAAGCTGCTGCTCTGGCCAAAGCTCAGGTGGACTAACTGGGCTGTACCTTCCCAAAGTCCCTGCTGTTCCAGCTGGGTAAAGGAAAAGCGGTGTGGTTAGCTACGTCTGAAGTGGTGAAGAACACTTCCAGAAGTGGTGTAAGCCCTTTCTGAAACGTGTGTCCTTTGGGGGTGGAAGACAGTACTTAAATATTAATTTTTAAATTTTTTTTTTTACTACTTTACCTCCTATTTGTAACCCCCAGCATCTGTGGCTTTGAGCTTACATAATGCTTTCCTGGGTGCCCGGAGTTCCAGCTCTGGCTCACAGACCAGTGCCAGCCTTCTCTGGGGTGTGGTGTGTCCGCTTCACCCTGCTGGGAGGGAACGCGCCTCCTTTGGAGCGCTCACCTGGCCAGTGCTTCAGGAAACCTACAGTGGGTGGTTAGAAGTGATGTTTCTTTTGTGCTGTAAAATACACCTCTGGGGGGAAGGACTTGCGCTTGTTACAGGCTCATAGGTCAAGTGTCTTCGTCTGAACGCTGCCGGCAGATGCCTCTTGGCTGGAGCGCAGAGGAGTTGGACGTTCGCTTACAGCACAGCGTTCCAGGCGCGTCGCGCCGTGCCGACGTGTGCCGGACTCGGAGGGGAGGGAAGCTGCGAGAGGGAGCAGAGTCCCGTGCCCCTCTCCTGTAAGGCAGAGCAGCGGGCTGCTGGGCTGCGCTCTGGTGCGGACACCTCATCGCATTCCCGTCTGGATACTTCAGCAGTAAATCCGTTGTGATCACGAGCACATCCTTCCGGAAGGGCAGAGCAGTGAAAAGCTTAATAACGCAGCTCAGGCTGTCTGCTGACATAGCAAATCTACTTCTCTGGTGAAACAGCCCGTTAAATAATTTAAAAAATACTCTACTTCATACAAGTTTCACCCCCCCCCTCCTTTATTACACACAAACAAGATGAACTGGCCTTCTGCTGTGGATTTTTTCTCCCTTCCCTGTGCTCTGCCTCCGCAGCTGTTCTGTCCTTGACAGCTGTTCTGCCCAGCGTTGGCTTGTACAAGTTCCTGGGGAGCAGTCCTTGACTCCTGCTCGATCAGCATGGAGCGATCCTTTCTGAATGTGGCGGGGCTCTGTGGAAGGACTGATGCAAGTTGACTTGGAGCTGGCAAACTTGATTGCAAGAAAGTCTCCAGGGGCGGGGTTGTGTAGACTGAACGAGTGCATTTAATAGGGTGCGTGGAAGATGGGGAATTAGGGAGCAGTCACAAGCCTGAGGTCTAGTATTTCTGTCGTGCCACAGGGTGGCGTGGCAGCTGGAGCATAAAGACACAAACCTTTCGCCGAGGCTGGCCTGTTCCTGTGGCCGCAGCGCTGGGCGGTACTGGTTCTCTCTGCGCACAAGCTGTGCTTTCTCTCCATTCAGGTGCAGCAGACTGTGCAGGATTTGTTTGGCCGTGCTCCTAGCAAAGCGGTGAATCCTGACGAAGCCGTCGCCATTGGCGCAGCTATTCAAGGTGGCGTGTTAGCTGGGGACGTTACTGATGTGCTGCTGCTGGATGTCACTCCCCTCTCCTTGGGGATTGAGACGCTGGGAGGTGTCTTCACCAAGCTCATCAACAGGAATACTACCATACCAACTAAGAAGAGCCAGGTACAAATTGACTCCAGATGGGTGGGTCTTCTGTGGTGGTGGTCTCAAACAACCAGTGAAGGCTACCCGAAACATCCCAGTAGATAGTCTTTGTCGTCTCCTCATCTGGCAAGGAGGAGCAGCGTAGAAATCAGGTTTCATGGCAGCCACTGAATATCTGTTGATCATTACTGTGCCCAAGAGGGGAGGGAAGCTGAGTTGGTGTGTGCCAGGATACCCCAGGATGATAGTGGCCTGGTCAGGCTTGCAGGGTGCGTGCCATGATGTTGACTGTCAACACATCATTCTGAAGAAGAACTGTGTGGAGACCTTCTGTAACTGAGCACCGCACCCGTTTGAGACCACCCTTCCCGGTCTGCATGCCTTGGAAGGGATTATTTTTTTTTCCTGTAAGGCCCCAGTAGACTTGGGTGTGATCCTTTCTCACTTCGCCTTGTCTGGGTCTGCTCGCGTGTGCTCTTACTGATAACTCGTGTTCTGGGGCGTGGGTTTGGGGCAGGAGCCCTGCTGCTTCGGGAGGAAAGGCCCTGGTAGCGTGGCTGCCGCCACCGGGGCCTGCTGCTGGCGTGGCATTGCCAGTTGCCGTGTGCTTGAGTGCGTATAGGACCAGGTGGCAGTGAGCCTGGCTGTTGCTCATCCTGGTGCCTCTGTTTTCTCAGAGGAGCAGGGGAACAACAAACATGTAATGATTCTTTATCTCTTCAAAGCAGCCTTTCTTTATTCCTTTACTTGTTGTTTAGACAGCCTGTAACTGCATCAGTTCATGTGTTGCAATTTACTCGCTATCCGGTAACTTTCTCTTCCTTTTCCATAGGTGTTTTCCACAGCTGCTGATGGGCAAACCCAAGTGGAGATTAAAGTGTGCCAGGGAGAGAGAGAGATGGCTAGTGACAACAAACTTCTTGGCCAGTTCACATTGGTACGTTGGCTACTCAGTGTTCATGACCTCAGACTTGACCTTCTTCGAGAAATTTAAAGCCTTCTCCGTTTCAGTGGGCCCCTGAAGGCGGTGTTGAAGGGGAGTCATCTTAGAGAAGACATTTGACCCGGTTTGTCGTAAAAAAGCAGTGTCTAGAGGCACAGCCTGATTCTGGGACAGCCTTTCAGTGGCAGGGGAGCAGCTAGCGCTTGAGATGGAGCTGGAAGTTTCGATGCAGTCTTATGTGGCCCAGGGCCGACTGCAGCGTTAGGGCCTGGTCACCTCAAAGGCACCTCTTTACTTCTGGGCACCAAGAGCTCTGCAGTACCAGACTGTGCAGCAGGTAAACTGAACGCTGGCCTTCCCTCTGGTGGTGCAAAGACAAGACTTGGAGCAGGCTCTGTGATACCAGCAGTCCCGAGGGTAACCCGTTCCTAGCCTCGTACCGCTTCTCTGTGGGCGCCTGCTTAATGGAGAACAGATGTGCTCCAGGGCTTCATGTGCGACGTGAATCTGCCTGACCAGCAGAGTTGGCTTGGCCAGTGTTGGCGAAGTTTGGCACTGTTGTGACTGCTTGCCCAGGCTTGCTGTTGCTAGGGAGAGCCCCACAGAAAGGGCGGGCTTTGGCTTTCTTCTTTACCCTTGAAGGAAGCTGTACAGCCTGTCACTCTTAAAATGGTGATCTCCAAGGTAGTTGTTGAAGTCTAGTTGTGCCCAGAACTGAGGGGACAGAGCATCCTGCCGTGTCCATGGAAGAGGAGCTTGTTTAGCAGTAAAGCAGAACCTGTGTCACCTTGAAACCAGACTTGGGGGCTGCCTCTCGTGGTTTCTGTGCACTTGTCCTGGGTAGAAATCTGCATCCTGTTAGATCTGTCAAGATACTAATTCACCACATGATGCCAACAGGTATTCAGGGAACTCTGCTCTGAGGGTTAGTTGGTTAATAAATAGTTGATTCGGCTGACAGATGCGCAACACAGGAGCCTTGTGCCCTAGGCTCGTGTCCGTGCGGGAGCTGATGGCTAAACCTTTCTTGTTCTCAGGTTGGGATTCCCCCAGCGCCCCGTGGAGTGCCCCAGATTGAGGTCACTTTTGACATCGATGCGAACGGTATCGTTCATGTGTCAGCCAAGGATAAAGGCACCGGACGCGAACAGCAAAGTAAGTGCCCTGGGATGCTGCCTCGGGACGAGGAGGGAAGGCGTGGAGCGGTGATGGTGCTATAGCACGCTGGGCGCTGAGGGTGACGCTAGGTGGCTCCGAGGGTAGTGGAGTGCTGCCTTGATGGGCATCCCGCAGTCCAGGAGTGGGGACTGTGTGGTCTCTTGGTTAAGAGCAAGAATGACACAAGCAATCTGTTGCCAGTGCAGCGTAGATGCAGTTGAAGTCATCTTAGCCTGAGTGCTTCCTCTGGAAAGGAGGGGCAAAGGGTTACTGCAAAGTGAAGTGGGGAAAGGGAGACGGGACAACTGACCTGCGGTTTCATTTTAAGGCAGTAAAGCTCCTGTAAACAGCGCTCTGTTTGCCCTCTCTGTTAGCCTGCTGACAGAGATTGCCACCAACGGATGCTCTCTCCTTGCACAGTAGGCAGAGATGAAGCATCTGCCTCTGCCAAGGTCGAGGAGGTCCTCACTGGCAGGGTTTTACCACATTCCGAGTCATTTTGTACTGTATGACAGTCCTTTCTTGGCCTTGCCATCTGCTGTGATGGCCACAGCAATGTTCCAGCAGAGTGCGACTGTTTCCTGGGCTTTGCTGTATTTATCAGCTGTGCCTCGGTCCCCACAGAGGTGTTGGACCTACGGGTTGGCTGGCTGAGGGCTCACAGATGGGTGTGAAGCAGTGCTCTTGCTGCTTTACGGGGTGTCCCGAGGAGCTGGGAGCAGGGATGTTCTGCCCTACGTTACCCTGCAGGGACAGAAATGGGGGTTGGGGATCCAGCGCCTTGCAGGCGGCGTTCTGGGGGGCGCCCGCTGCCAGCGCGCCAGCAGATCGCTGCCTCTTGGGGGCTGCCTGCAGGAAGGTGCTGGCTTTAGGGGAGAAATCGAATGAGGAAGATCTCTGTTGAACCCAAGGCGTGTGACATACAGCTGAACAGATCAGCCCTGGGCAGAGACCCTGTGTTCTTTATAAAGGTCTTGAAATTCAAGTATTTTGAAGCAGCAGGGTTTTTTTGCATAGCCACCTTGTTCGTTCTCGTGCACTCAGGCTGGAAAAGTCTCTAAATGGCAGGAGGCTTGGGGACTTCAAGCTGTCAGCATGATTTGCACTGCAGTGCAATGAAGTGTTAGGCCCGGTGTTCTGGGGTAATTAACGACACCGTTGACATTTTCTAAAGCTCTATTGCGGGCTCAGAAAATTAATTTGAAGCATTTGCGGATTCCCCTGAGACGAGAGATCTCTTTTGCGCCTCTGACTGGGAAGCCTCTCTGCTGCCCTTCAGTTGTTTCTTGGAGGTGACCACCTGAGGGATCGAACGTGTGCTCTGGTTAAGAAAAATATTGTGAATTCTGTATTGGCAACCGGAGGGTGTATACTGGTCTTCACCATACTGCTTGCCTTTTACCATAAATTAGTTTCCAAAAACACACTGCTTGTCCCGTTGTTTTCCTCGTAGATTTTCTGTGTGGCAGCCTTCTAGCTCTGGGTAAATGTCTCCTGGTAATAGGCAACCAGAATTTTTGAGCTGCCTGTCTGCATGCAGACATGGTCCTGATTATAAAGCTGAACTCCTCATACCACGTCTGCATCCAAAGGACACAAGTGTGTCCAGAGTTTTGTGTTGTACTATGGACAGATACTGTGTAGAAAACTTTACTGTGTAGAAAACTTACTTCTAATGAGGTTCCTAGTATACCTTTTTTTTTTTTCAACTTTGCGATATTCAGGACGTTGGTCTTCTCTCTCCTAATGAAATTACGCTTTACTGCAGAACTTTGCTTGCATCTAGGCTGTATTTTCTGACTTCTTGGCACAAATGGAGAGAAATAGGGGACCTTTAGGACCCCACCTGTAGAATCATGTCATGTTGTCTTATCCTGCTACCAGCCTGGGCTGCTTCCCAACAGTGAAAGGAATCTGTGCCCTGGTAAAATGATTCCTTCTGTTTGGATTGGTTCTGGGGTTTTTGGTTGGGTTTTTTGCTGGTTTTTTTCGCTGTTTTGTTTTGTATTTTTCACCTGCTGGAATGCCCCTTTGATTTTGGGGGCTTTGTGTCCTCCATTTCTAGGAGGAGTAACTCAAGAATGGTCCAAGTGACTTGCAGACCAGTGGACAGGAGGTGTCTGGCAGAGCCGTGGAGCCTGTAGATCTAAGATGCCAGGCTTTTCTCTTGCGAGCAGCATCGCTGCCTCTTCAAAGGCTGGCTGTGCTTGTACTGCCCACGGGGCCTTCACAGGTGCAGAGTCCCTGAGCAAGGCGGCTGCTGTTGGGAGGGCTTGGGAAATAGTACTCTTCTTCCCTCAAAGATGGGAGCGCGTTCATTATTCATGCTTCTTCTCTAATGCAGTTGTTATCCAGTCTTCTGGCGGCCTTAGCAAAGATGAAATTGAGAACATGGTGAAGAACGCAGAGAAATACGCAGAGGAGGACAGGCGAAGAAAGGTAACGTGGTCCGTAGGGTGTCTGCCGTCCTGTGCCGGTAACCGTGCTCCCCTTTGAGGCAGCCGTAGGCTCTGGTCTGTATAGTCCGGAGCTGTTTGCATCTGCAGTTACAAATACCAGCTTGCTTCCTTTTCTGTTCTGTTTACACACCAGAGTTGCAAGAGGGTGGATGCAGAGGTGTTTTGGGGTGGGGTTGGGTAACTTGCCCTGTGTCAGTAGCGTTTTCATTCCTCCCTGAAGAATTCCTGGGACATGGAGGCAGCAGTAAGCGACCTCACCTGCCTGTTACTCATGACTTTGTAACTCCAGCTACGCTTTTTGCCATCAGGGCTCTTTCCTATCCTGCCCGTTATCCTGGTTGGTCATGTCAAGCTCGCCTGCTACAGCTGGGTTCTCCCGGTGATGTTCCATTTAAAGGAGGGGCAGTATGGGGGGATTTAAGCTACTTTCTCTGAGTTGATTTTAAAAGGTCATTTATAGAATCTACCAAGCAAAGCTGCACCTCAGCATCTGCCTTCATCGGTGGGAAGTTGCTTCCCATAGTGCTTAAAGTCCCCCTGTGGCATCTGGGATGCTCTGTTCATCTGGGCGCAGAAATTTGCCCTCGGCGCGGGTGAAGCCATCGGGAGGTGTTTGAAAGCCTCGCTGACTTTGTCAGGAAAAGACTGACACTTGCCATGGTTGAGTGACTGAACCTGTGATATATATATAGGATTAATGGTTGGAACTAATTGGTTTAATGAGGGTAGTACTAATGAACTATGCCACTAAATATAGAGCATTGATTTTTAAGCAGACACAGCACAGACCTACTGTGGGATGTGGCACCAGCGTATGTGTAGCAATTGCTGAAACTGGCACACTGAATTGATCTACTTTGTGTTCTCCTAGTCTGTAGAAACCTGCCTCAGGTGTTCAGGCAGCCCTGTAAATCTCACCCTCAGTAGAGAGGGGTTCAGAAGAGGACCCAAGGGGGGAATGCATGGAATAAATTCACACGAAGCAGCATCGCCTTGCCTCAGAACCTCTAAAGCCACAGAGCACTGGCTTGGTAGCGATTGTGGGTTGATGAAGAACCTTTAAAGGCCTGGGTCTGAAAGTCCCACTGTTTAAATAACCACACCATTGCCATGAAGCGTAGGTGGTGGCCTAGCGTGTGGAGAGGCTGCACTGAAACCTTTGTCCTGTTGCCTTACTTTGACTTTGTATCTTAAATTGCTGAATAAGCCTTTCCCTGTTGTAGTCCTGAAGTGGGGCTCATCTCTGTCCAGTGACCTATCAGGTGAAGGTGGTCAGGTTACTTTCTTAACTAACATTTCTCTTTACTTGGCTTGCATAACTGTAATTGCTAAAATCCACTCGTTACACCTATCTGATCATGGTTTTACTGCCCTGGAAGTATCATGAATGCATAAAGAGAGTTACCACTCTGCTTGACTCTGCATCCTGCTGTGAACTTTGACATCCCACAAAGAGTGAAGACCTAGTGTAGAAACAAAATTATTTTTCATCAGCTTTCCTCTGTAAGCGGTTAATCTCCGGAGAGCGTTATCACACCCTTGTTCAGGTAGACTGTTCTTCCAGATGGAGAGGGCTGGGTGTCCCAGAGGCTGTTGCTGGTGATAGTTCATGTTGACACTGGGGCTGAATTATGTCTTTGCAAGACTGCTCAGTACTTAGAGCCTACCCTGTCCCCGTCGGTTGTCTTTGCCACGGTAACGTTAGGAACTGTGATATGTCTTACCTAGCACAGCGGCGGTTTTCCACTCCTGAGGTGTTACAAGCATTTGTAGTAAGGGGACATGGGTAAAGCAACCCAGCATTTTGGTTGTCTCTAGTGCCCTTGTTGCTGTAGAAGCTTAAGAATATTTTCCAAAAGCCCTGCTGCTTTCCCAAGGAGCAGAGAGCTGTCTCTGCAGTTTGCTGGCTTTTTTTGGTCGTGCTACAGGAGTTGCTTCGAACTTCCAGGGAAGTGAGTCAGAGCGTGAGAGCGTGTGGATTGCCTTGCCTAGACAGCTTGTTTGGGCCTTCTGGTGCCAGAAGGCATCTAGAAATGGTTTGCTTGTGTTTCTTCTTGCCCCCTTACCATGAAGAAGGACCCTGAGTAGGAACTAGAATGGAGCTTGGCAGTTTGGGGAAAGAAATATCAGCTGCTAATTCGTACACACACAACTTGTACGGCCAGTGCTGCGTGCAGTAGGCCCTTACGAGCTCTCTTACCCAGGAACGTGTGGAAGCTGTAAACATGGCCGAAGGCATCATCCATGATACAGAGTCTAAGATGGAGGAGTTCAAGGATCAGCTGCCAGCAGATGAGGTAGGTACCTTCTGATCCCCTAACAGTAAAGGAGGAAAGATTCCTTGCTACATCTCTGCTCAAATTCTCCCTTAACTCCTAGCTGGCTCTGGTCAGTGGCACTGACTCTGTGTGTGTTTCCATGCGCAGTCATCGACTCTTGTGGTTTTTGCACTCGATGAGTGGGATGAGCATGGCTGCTGGGAGGGTGGAAGGACGTACTTGGAAGAACATGGCTTGGATAATAGCAAATACCCTGTTTCAAAGCGCGAGTTCAGTGTCACTGAAGATCTGAGAGCCTTGGAAGCTGTTAATGAGAGGTTTCTGCATGAATTATGTCCTTGACTTGGCCTTGCAGGGATTTGATAAGAACTGTACTGTGGCCTGCATGAGAGGAGAGTTTTGCTCAAAAGCTAGAGATTGTGAGCGGTGCCGACCACTGTATCAGCAGAGGGACAAAGGCAAAGCTGCTGTGCAGTCCTGGCGCTACAAACACAGCACCCAAGGGCTTGCAGGCAATGAAAAGTACTGTGTCCACTTAACTCCACATTTTCTTCTGTCTTTGGGGTGGATATTTAATATCAAGCGAGTGCTTTTCTTACCGCTCATAAGTGACAGTTTGATTTCTGCTTTATGGATTTCAAAAGCCAAGTTTAAAACACATTCCTAGAGTTGACTTTAAGACTGTGCAAGCAGAATGAAAGGGCTCCTAGAGGCTCTGTGAGGCGTTGGAGGGAACGAGATTGTAGTTTACTGGTAAGTGGCCTCTGATCAGTTTAAATGCTGCTTTGCAGCCCAGCTCCTCTCTCTAGGATGAATATTGGTTGACTTTCTGGGATTACGATCACTGGAGTGTTTTGGGTTTTTTTTTCATGGGAGCATGTTCCTGTTCCCTGCAGGGACTGTTTCTCTAACATTTCGGGGGGTGAATACCAAGGGACAGTGGGCAGCAGTGCTTGGAGGGAGCCCTGCGCTGTCTGGGTGGAGATGGTGGCCTGGCACAGGCGGCGTTGGTCACCTTGCCCTTCCTGCGGGTCCGGATGAGAGCTCTGCCCGCGTTCTGCCTGCGGAGGCCGCCGAGCGAGCGCTGCCGGCACCGCTGTCCCCCAGTAACCTCGCTCCTCCAGGCCTGCCGCCCCAGCAGCGTGCCAGTCTGACAGAGCAATGCCAGACAGCGTGGAGGGTTTGCCAGATGGCTGCAGGGGCTGGGATGAGCCCGCATCGCTTCGGTTTGCCTCCCTGCTCCTTCTCCCACGTGCAGCAAAGGGCGGTGAACAGCCGTACCCGCTGGCTTTCTGACAGTGCCTTAAATAGAGGTGGAAACCAGCTTTCTCTTCCCTTTCCCCTGGCTCCTGGGGGTGACTGCCTCGCTGGTGAGGCGTGCCAGGGAGAGCAGCTCTCATCCTTGGCGGGCTGCTCGGTCTCTGCGGGGCTTTCTGTCCTTGGCGCCTCTGCTGAGGCAGCAAACAAGGGGATCGATTAATGCCAACTGTGGCACATTTAGAGAAGTGGACAGGTGCCCGTTGGGAACTGAGCACAGTCCTAGTCCCTGCAGACCGTGTGGCTCAGTTTGAGACCTAGCTTCATGGCTTCTGGCAAAAAAAAAAGGTAGTTTTGACCCATGAAATGACAGGGACGAGATTCTCAGTGAAGGAAGTGTGGGATTTCATTGTGGGTTTTTGTGACTTATTTGCAGTGCAACAAATTAAAGGAAGAAATTGCTAAAATGAGGGAACTTCTGGCTCGTAAAGATACTGAAACGGGTGAAAACATCAGGCAGGCAGCGACCAGCCTGCAGCAGGCTTCCCTGAAACTCTTTGAAATGGCATACAAGAAGGTAGGTTCATGGTCCTTTCCATTTCATAGCCCTCAGATGGGGAGGGGCGAGTTGGGACACCAGCTCTTACCTAAATGTTGTGCTTGGGGGGTAGCACTGAGCCTCAGTGCAGCTCCCCGAGTGACACTTGCTGAAGGGGCAGCTGTAGAAAGTTGGGTGGCTGAAGACCTTGAAATCTTGGCCCTCCTGCCTGCCAGGCGATGTGCCGTGTTACGGTGCAGCGTCGCATGGAGAAGTGCTGGAAGCTCTGAGTGAGGAGCGTCAGGAAAAGCACGGATGGGGCTTTCCCCAAGGGGTGTAGGGGGGTACAGAGTGAAGTCACATCTGGCCTTGCTTTAAGGGTGATTGTAAAACAGGCTTCTGGTTGGGTCTGCCTGCCGTTACAGCAGCGAGGCCATCGGGGTTTTCTTCTCAACCCCCTTCCCAGGGAAGGGCTCACCCATTCGAGGCCTGGCAGGTGTGAGCTTCACCTGCCCACGGAGGTCTCCCAGGATGGAAGTGGCATGCTGCCCAGGTGACCTTGGTGGTGCTAAGCTGTCCTTACTGGGGAAAGCTGCTTTTCTGGTGTCAAACTGGAAATGTTCAGTGCTGCAATGTAAGCTCGTTAGGTCCACTGGGAAGGTGTAAATGGGAAGATAATTTCCTGCCTCGTAGGAGCAGTCGTGCAGATGAAGATTGGTTCCATTCTCCAGTGGAGTTACCCTTTCCGCTGAAGGTTCCTTAAGGGTTTCTTCAGTCTAGAACTAACCTAACTAAGCAGGTAGCCAGGAAAAAAATGTTGAGGAGAAGCATTTTGGTGTTACTACGACTAATAAGCCAACTCTTTCACAGATGGCCTCTGAACGAGAGGGTTCTGGAAGCCCAGGGGATCAGAAGGAGGAGAAGCAATAAGAAGTCTCTGTCTTGCCTTGACTAGAGTATGAAGAAGAGGTCGATTTTTTTCTTGACGCTTGGGAGAGAAGGGACCTTCCTGAGCAGCAATGGGCAGAATTCAGACTTACTGTGTTTTTGCAGTATTCTATATATAAAATTCTTTAATGTATAAACTTAGTGATGTGTCTGCTAGATAAATTGTCACTTGATGAAAGTTAATTCATGCCAGACGAAGGTTTAAGTGTTCGTCCCCGTGGTATTCAACTGAGGCACCTGGGGACTCGCTGATCATTTATTTCTGATACTTGACACAATGGCGTACTAAATCTGATCTCCAAGTTTGGAAACCATGTCACTAAATGGAAGGGTGGAGATGGAAGTCCTGCTGGAACTGGGAGGAGAGTAAGACCTGTGTGGACCCTCCTTGTGGATCTGAGTGCTTGTGAGCAGGTAATGAGGCCTGTGAGCAGCAGTGGTAAGGCTGGTTGCATTGCTGGAGAACATTCGGATCTGCAGCTAGGTTAGTACCCGTGTTCTGAAGGAGAAGGGTTACTTCAAATTTAGCTGTAACATTATTTCTTACGAGAGAGGCTATGTGGAAGTTAAATACTTTGCTTGTCTGAGCCTTCTGCTCCATCATGTGTCTATTCTCTGCTTATGGTAAAACAATTTCCTTGAAAATAAAACTGTTATTGGATCCAATCTGGATTTTTTTAAAATAAAAGCAGAAAAGTGTCCAACATGGAGTTCATGGTATCCTGGCCTTTGATGGAGAACATGAGCGTGTAAAGTGCCCGTGAGAGCTCCTGGGGGGAACAGTCAGCCAGCTGTGGTGGCGGCAGCTTTCTGGTGTTTGTGCTTCATTCACGTGGGCAAGGCAGCGTCAGGTGAGGGTGTGTCCCTCTGCGGGTGCCCCTGCTGCACTCGCGGGAGGTGCCGGGAAGTCCTGCTGGGATCTGCAGTAGCAGTGGGACTTCACTCTCAGGCACTTTGTGCCGGGGCTCAGCCTCCCAAAACAGGCTGTAGACCCGGAGCAGCAGTTGCCCGCTGCTGCTGCTTCTAGCAGCCAAGCCTCCCAAGGAGGTGCAGTCTCCTTTCTGCAATATATTTACCTGTTTCTCCTTTTTCCTCTCTGTGTGTGTAGTCAACTGGAAAGAAAAAGCAAACTTTACTGCTGCTCAGATACTTAGGAGGGAGGAAAGGATTCTTTTTTTTTTCTGGCACTCTAGATGGTTTTCTAAATGAGATAAACTGTTAGGGAAGGCTACAAGTCCTGGTTCTGCAAACTTCCCTTTAAGTTATGAACTGGAAGGGATGAAGACTCTGTGCTTCTGCTGGGGGTTGTGTGAACGTAGCTCTTCCGCAAGTGGGCAAGTGACACAAATTGATTGTGCATGAGTCCGGGTCCTGTTACTGTTGGGTTTTTTATGTGGCAGGGCTTTATTTGTCACGGGCAGGTGATGGCAGGCTGAGGTGTACTTACAGCAAATGACCAGCATGGTTTCTTGGAAGTTTTGAGGACCACGTGGCTCAGGGTGGGCATGTTCCCAGCAGCTGCTGCTCCTGAGCTGGATGTGCCATCCAGGTGCGCGACTGCGTGTCGCGTGTGAAGCCACGTGCGTCGTTCTGTCACAGCGTAACCCTGCTCCTCTTCTAGAGGTGGGGTTTGGTGATGGCTGAGAGCACTTGGCTGGGCATCTCCTGAGAATAATCTCCTTCCCCAAACTCGATTGCAGCTGACTTCTGTCCTCAATTTCCCTCTGCTGCTGCTCCTGTCGAAAGTGATCCCCTGTATAAAGCTACAGTCTGGAAAAAAAAGAGGAGGAATTCTCTGGCAAAGCAAGGGGGGATATTTCAGGTGCTGAAAGGAAGTGTCCTTAAGTGAAAGGTCAAAAACCATCCTCTGTGGAAGCTTTTCCTGCTGCCTCCCTGAGGCTGCAGCCAGATGTTCCTGCAGCAGAGCCGGGCGCAGGACGGGCTCTGTTCTGGGCTTGTAGTGCCGTCAGGGCAAAGGCCATGGATCATCAGCCCGCTGCCTCCAGGGTCCTGGGTCATTGATCAGGATTGGCCTTTATCTCTTCAGCGAATCCCTTTCCTTGTCAGAGTTCACATACATCTTTCATAGATGTTCTTTATTTTGTAATGAGCTGTTCTTAGCTCCTCCTTTATAAGCTAAATTATTGAATTAGGGAGGGAAAAGTGAAATGGGGTCATGTGTGTCGTGCTGAGAACAGTTTCTTGCTGTGAAAAACTGCCAGGAAGGCAGGAGACGCAGCAACTGGGCTGTTCTCTCTCCTGAAAAGGAGCAACTCCTGTCCTGGGGAGTTAACTGCTGCCATCCCGCTGCTGGGAAGGCACCTGTCTGGGGAGGTAGCTGTTGGCACTGGAGAAAGGGTGTTGGGGCTTCGTTGTCTGCTGTCCTTTTCCACGTAGGCTGATACTCATCTTAGGAAGCCTATAGCCCCAGCGGTGCTGCAGCTCTGGAATAAATTACTGTTCTGGGTGTGACAGTAATTAAGAAAAGTTTTGCATGTGTTCTCTGGGGGGAAAAAGGTGCCGAGCGACGTTTGTGCTGCGTTTGTGCTGCGTGCTCCCACTGGCATGCATCCTCTGGCGGTGGCCTCTGCGGGTGGGAGCAGGTCAGTGCGAGGCACAGCCTCCTTGGGCTCTACCCATCAGGCTGCCTTAAAACAATGACGTTCAGCAGCACAAATACGACTGGGGTGGCAGATGCCAGCGTCACAGCTCCTGCCTGACTGTAACAGGGCAGGGAAGGCTGAGATTTCAGTCAGGTGCAGGTTACCTCCGCTTGCCTGCCGCCGCTTCTTTTCCTTTCCTGAAAGCAGTTTGCCCCAGCTCAGGACAGCCTCAGCGTGCCACGTTTGGGGAGTGTGCCTGGTGAGGACGGGGACCTGCTGGGTTGCCTGTACAGGCAGGAGGCGCTCGGCTTCCTTGGGGATTGCTGTACCGCACAGGAGGAAAGTGAGATGGAGTCTCTCCCCGTTCCCCACAAGACAGTGACCACCAGCGCGCTGTAAAGGCACGGCTGCTTTTGAAAACGCCTCTCTGAAGAGCGGAGCAGCTTATTGAAAAAGTTCTCTCTGATTCAGTGGCTCTGCCCCCGTCGCTGCTCTCGGTTCCCTCCTCGTTCCTGCGGAGCTGTGCCGGCTGTCAGCATCTGTGTCAGCCCG